GGGTTCTCTTCATTTTTTGAGTGAAATCTTTGCTTCTGTGATTACCAGTAAGTGTACAGACTAACAGAACACTCCAAAAATAGACTTATAGATATCTTGTGATATATTCAATTTCATATTTTAAGAATTATCATAATTGTTTATTCGAGATCAAACAAGTAAAGAATGAATTCTAATATCAAACAATTGAAGAATAAATTTGTCAAATTTTTGAAAGTTGGGAAATGTCCCGTCAATCTATGCACCCACTAGTGGATGACAAGTATGAATGTTTTCTCTACAATATTTCTTGTCATTACTTTCCTTCTTTTATCGTTAGTGATCCTCTTGCTGTATACTTCCTAAACATATTCCTTCATCATCTCTCGCGCTTCAATAAACACACTGCTAAGAGAAAGTCCACTCAATTGCGGAGAAAATAAAGACTGCGTGCGAGCCGAGCTTCCAAAAAGATGTCTATGATCATGCTGAGTTTGCAACATCTCAGATCGGATTCATCGTCTTACGTCTGAGTATATCCCCGGGAGTATGAACAGGCCCGGTATCAAGACGTATCTGGAGTCATATACTTCGCAGAAGATTGCCATGGTCACTGGGCTTATATACTCGTTAGCCCGGAAACCGCGTCGCGAGGTTGTCACGGTAGTTTTTTGGGGGGGGGGAATCCGCAGCTCTGAGCTTGGTATACTAACAATACCTACTGTTGTTGCTTTTTGTATCTTTAAGATTCGGTGGCGGGGGCTGATAAGCAGAACACTTCAGGTGCGGTAGATTTCGTCTGGGTGTTGAGTCGAAGAGGAATTTACCAGCGTGGAGGATTACTGGTCGGACGTAATGGAATGGTCTTTTGCGGATGAGGGTATGTTTGTAGAGAATTAGGACGTGGGTCGGACCGTTGTAGCTGGTGGGGACTGTGAGGACTGTGAGCAGAAACCTGCTACGCATCATCATACGAAGATTTTATTGTAGAGGGTGTGGATGAGCGACTTGGAGGCGGTCGCGGGCGAGATCTGTGTTATTCGGGTTGTTTTGTTTTGGTGATGGGGAGAGGTCTTTATTCTTGATTGGGAGTTCAAAGCCGTAGCATTGCCACAATCACAAATATTTGTGCTTTCTTTTTCTTTTTTTTTCTTCTTTTTTTTCCTCCTCCAAAACGCCGTGCATGCACATCAGGCGTCCTCCCCGATTATCGAAATTTTCCACCCCCCCCTCGTTACTCGCTCGGTGTTATAAGCCCCGGGTTTACATCCTGTCTTCCTATAGAAGGACATTAGTCAAAGACGCTGTATACGGCTTTCCTACACATTTTAGTTTATATGACAAATCTTAGGGTCAAGTTCAATGATGTTTGGCTGCTAAGACATTATCTTTTGATGATCATGATGTTTTTGGTCTGGAGTAGTTGAGGGGTGTTCGAATTCTAGTGTGTGGAGTGTATAAAAAAGATTCCGTGGAAATGGGGTCGGGAAAAGTATTGAGAGGTTGTATCTATATAAAGATCCATTGGTCCTCGAGTTGGGGGCTACTTTGTGTGTTGAAAGTTTCTAGCACACCTGACGGATTGATGATCTCGAGGTTGGGAATAAGGAGTGTGGATGGAAAGAAGGGTTCAGGAGGTTAGACAGAGAGACTGGTGATGGAGTGAATGAGAAGAGCTGGATTTGTGATTGAAGACGCAGAACATGGGATGGGAAGGGAAGGTTTCGATACTGTCTGATTGTCGTTTACTTTGTTATTTTTGTTATCATCGGAATCATTTCCACCGAAATGTTAATTGTCATTTGTGATGTTTTCATTTCGTCTTTTCTCTTCCTCTCCGCACAACTCTCCATTTAGAAATCATACTGCTGACACACTTCAATAGGTACCTGTATGGAACCCGCACACGGTGTTTGGTCTTCTTGGCCAAGCTCTTTTCTCTGAATGCCATTACTTTTTGAGCTTTCCAGATCTGGGATGGAAGTCAATGGAGGAGAGTGTACTTATATATTAATTCTGTAGGCCTACCTAGGGACCTAGTGATGATATGCGGGTAAGCGAAAGCGGGGTACTGGAGGAAGAAGAAGGTACTTGATTTGAGGGGTCATAAGGACAAAGTTTGCGTAAAGAGTGAAAGCAGGTAGCTTTTAGCCGATTTTTCCCCCATAGAAGTGAATTCTTTTTTAGAACTCTCAAGTGAATGAGGAGGTTACATAAAGATCGAGGAGTCCCCAGGTTTAGGATCCTTATGGGTGCGAGTTGATGAAATTATCGTTAAAGGACTGGTGATTTCTGGAGTCTGAAAGACGATTCAAGGAACAGGAAAGAAGATGGATTTGGTGAGTGATAGATGGTGAGAGTTAAATGGGGTATGGTCAGGGGTAATTGTTTGTACTATTGTTTATGTTGTCTTGTTGTCGTTGGTTCTGTTCTTATTTTCGTCTGGCAATTGAGAGTTAAATAGTTGCTATTGTCATCTGTTCAGTAGGCGTTGTTTAATCTCGTCATTGCGTTAAGTGCAGCTTCCTAATTCTCTATACAGAAACTGGATTTCAGCTCAGGAGTTGAGTTTTGTATTCATAATGGATATACCCCTACAACATCCAAATTCCGATGCAACATGACTGATGATCTACTGGTAAGCAGAACTTTGTATGTCGAATAAATAGGATTGAATAAGTGATAATTTATTTATAGGCCAATTTAAGGAGGGTCTGTATAAGGATGATTTGTAAGGCAAAGGAGTGCGGGGCGATGAGCTGAGAGAATTTGATTCTAGATATTTTCAGTGATTTCAGTGAGTGAATTCATTCGTTTTTTTATTCGGCATACATTTGCATTTACCTTGACCTTTACATAGCACATGAGTGCTTTTCTAGAGTTCGAGAACTAAGAAGATATAGCAGGCACGGGACAAAAATTTGGCGAAGATATAAGGATCAAAAAACCCGGATCTTTAGTCATTAGGGATGTTCTACCAGCAGGTACGACCCTGAATATTTCTACTTGTGGGACTTATGGGTAAGACTTGTGGTTTTCGGATTCGATGTGGGAAGCTTGTTGATGGCAAGAAAGATGAGATGCGGAAAGTGGAAGGAAATAGATGGAGACAACAATGGGATTCTGTAATCTCGTTTCTGCTCTTGTTTATCTCTAGCATCTTTTGTTGTCATCGATTTACTAATATTCCTAAAAATTACTATCGTTTCTCTATATGTAACTGTCTAATATCCTCTGTATTTTCATCGCTTAACACCTTGATTATCTTCTATTTCCAAGAAAAGTAGTGGACCTCAAATCCTGATTTTACCCAGCCCTTAATATTTGAGCTTCAAGCAGACAACTTTCTTTTCAGTACAAGTTTCTTCCTGTTTGTTTGTTTGAAATTAGACAGGAGATGAGGTGTTATTTGTACATTGTCTTTGGAGAGATCTTGATGTGAATGATTGGGAGAGTGGGTGGTCAGTAGAGCGGGGTGAGGCTTTGAGATGAGGGGTGAAAGAGGGGTCTAAGGGAAAGATTAGTGAATAACCCTTCATCTCTCGTGCATGCGCAAGAATTCAAAGTAAGTTGTTGCGCATGACTGACCTAAGCTGAGTCATCAGGATCAAAGAGGTTGTTGGAACGGAATACGAGGTTATTTAAACCTTGAGGTATTCCGTAGTTTTGGGATCATCAAGATTGCAACTAAGATGTGGGCAGAGTATAATGGCTGTCCATTTCCATGCGTGATTGAAGTGACAAGGAATGTCGATGTGTATCAAGAAGCAATCTGGAGAGGAGTGGAAAAGAAATTAAGATAGAACTATGGCTCTGGATTTTGGGATTTGCGTCATTGTCATTCAATTTGTATTTTGTTTTATTGTCATTAATCTCAACTGTTCTATATTCACCAGTTCCCATCTGCGCCGTCTGATCTCTGCCTTTGTTTATTGTCGTTTTTACAGCCCGTCCGATGCAATAGGTGAAAGGGAACGACATGGCTTAGCTAGATTTTACTGGAATTACTTCATTGATAAGTTCTGATCCTAATCTCTGAGTATTCAATTTTCTGGGGAGTTCTGGAATAGAAATTTCGACTGGAGCTCACGGGTGTAATTTACATTGCCAATAACATAGTGAATTTGCTTGTGAATTCTGAATTTAGCTTTGAGAGGCTATGAATATATTCGGGAGATATCAAACGTGTATTTCCGACGTGTTAGTGCTTGCGGAGATTGAGGTCCTTCAAGGTGAAATCCTGACGAAACACAACTTTCACCCCACTCCTAAATAAAGTAGCAATGTCTTGTGAGAATTTTGTGCATTTTCAGTGCGGGTCAAAAGAAGAGCAATTTATATAGCAAATCAGAGTAAGGGAATGGCATGGTAAGGAGATGGGCTCAAGGTATCGAGGTGGATGTAGGTAAATAAGATTCACTAGTGTCTCGCGACCTTCCTCTCTCCCCCCCAGTTGCAATTTTGTCGGAACACACAGTCACAGGCCCATCTATGTTTCCAATCAAGTTGCAAGTATCCAAGTATAGTTTTCTAACAAGAAGAACGAGAGAGTAAAGGTGGTGGATTGTGCAGTTGGAGAACTAGCTGGTGTAAGAGAGTGGAAAGAATGTTGACAGGAGAGCTAGAATGTTGAATTTGTATTTGTTTCTGTTGTGAACAAGGGTATTCATTGCCATTTCTTGAATGGATTGCCTGACGATTCTCTCCGTCGATTCAGATCGATTCAGCCAGTGAATAGGGCAATCCCCCCCGTAATTGAGCAAAAGTTATACACACCAGCAGCACATGAATTCTGGTGTAATTTTCGCTTGATGGCAATCTCTCAACTTTTCAAGTAGGGGTAGACTATATGAATTAATTATCTGTCTGCATTTCTCAGGAGAGATAAGTGGAAACAGGTATTAAAAGTTCCATAATGACGAAATATTGGGATGTTTAGAAAAGCTTTTGGCGCCTAGAGGTATGACAATAGTGAGGAGATGGGCTCGCTTAGTAGGACTAGATCGGCTAGTCCCCAGAACAGCAGTATTGAGGGTATTTGATCACTTTTCATGAGGCCAAATGAAAGCAAAAAAACTACAGCAATGATCGCGTTTCATTGCTATTCCAAAACGAATGGCTAGGATCTACGATCCAAAATCTGACAATCACCTCCCCAAGCTACTCAAATCTCATTGTCTCCTCCAAGGTTTCATCATCCAATCCCAGCACCCTGCTTACGAACAAAACAATGGCAACATCAATCGAGCTTTCATTGGCCTGGTAGACCAAAATTGATGTTGAACGTCAATCTCATCCTATCCTACTTCTTGTCTGTTCCAGCTTGACCTGCATTTCCACCACCAGTACCTTGGCCAGCTGCGGCTCCACCAGCGTTTGCGTTACGATCGCCAGCTCCTTGAGCGCGCGCCGCAAATCCTGAAGAGGACATATCTTTACCACCTTGGGCCTGTTGTAAGATTTGTTAGCTTGGGCTGCGGTGATATACTACGGAGACTATTGGGTAGGTAGAGAGGAAGAAAAGAAGAAACGTACTTGAGTTGATTGGATGCGTGAAGCATCATCTTTGGTCATGTGAGCAGGCATAATTGCTAGTTGTTGAGGTTGTTGTGGGTAGAAAGTTGAGGCTTGTCTGTTTCGTTGAGTGGTCAGTAATACATTATGAACACAACGACTCTTTCAACAGGATTGACAACAGAATGTGCCGAATGAAAATTTCCGAAATGAGTTAAAAACTAGGAAATGTGAGGATGAAGAACCAAATACTCACAGTTTTTGGTTGGCTGGCTGTATTTTTGTGTGTATGTATCTATGCGACTTGTGATGAAATGGCTTGATTAGGGAAAACGATTAAAGAGTGGAAGAATGGCCAACATATATCCTCAAGCTCAGGACTTCAGGAGCAAGAAAAGGAGAAAAGTGTATAAGATGTATGTTGCCGATGAGGCTCACTGACTGCATGCATTCCAAATCAGGCAAAGCGAATGTACATCAATTACCACGCCCACCGCCTCTCTTCGGGATTTTGAAAGTGATCATAAAGCATGATTCCATCGACGAATGTTGCAGCCCATTTCACATCATAAGATTTTTCACTGGGAAATTATATAAAAGAATGGCGGTAAGTATTGTTTGCTTTACTGCATAAGTCAACTACCCCACTTTCCGACCACCCCCTCTTTTCGACCACCTCAAAAACCACACCGCTTTGAGTAATTATAAAATTTATACTTTGAATAACTCAACAATGCTTTAATCAATTGATTTGAAATTTTGATATTATTATAATTGTGGTATGAAGAATAGATATACCGAAGAAGATATCGCAGAGGCTCTTAGAGCGATTACAAATGGAGCAAGCATACGAAGAGCTAGCTTGGATTATGGTGTTCCACGTACCACACTTCACGATCGAATATATGGTGGAGTTTTCGCATCAAAAAGGCGCCCAAATACTTCAAAAGTTATCTCCAATTCAGGAGAATCGACTAGCAGAATGGATATTAGTACAGGAAGCTCTTGGTACTAGCCCTACACATCGTCAAATCAGAGAGATGGCAGAGCACCTCCTTATTGTACGAGGGGAGGATCCCTCACTTGGAAAGAAATGGATACATAGCTTTTTTCGAAGGCATCCTAATATTGGAACTAAGAAGCAACATCAAATCGATTCTGCACGAGTTTCAGGTGCTACATCTGATATTATTAAGAAGTGGTTCCGGAACCTCGCAATCCCTGAAATCAAGGCTATTAAGCCGGCCAACAGATGGAATATGGATGAAGCAGGTATAATGGAGGGTCAGGGTCTTAATGGACTAGTAGTAGGAAGCACTGATCGAAGATTTATTCAAAAAAAGCAACCTGGATCTCGAATTTGGACCTCTTTTATAGAATGCATTTCAGCCAATGGAAAAAGCATTACTCCCCTTGTAATATATAAGGGAAAATCAGTTCAACAACAATGGTTTCCAACAGATTTGACTCTATTCAAGGGTTGGAACTTTACCGCTACAGAAAATGGATGGACTACAGATGCTACAGCTTTAGAATGGCTGAAAAAGATCTATATCCCTCAAACTACCCCTATTCAGCCGGAAAATTCAAGACTCCTCATTTTGGACGGACACGGAAGCCATGAAACTACAGCATTTATGTTAGAATGCTTTAATAACAACATATATCTCTTACTTCTCCCACCACATACGTCACACGTACTACAACCACTCGATTTATCTGTGTTCTCACCCCTAAAAAGTGCATATCGAATCGAACTTAATAAATTAAGTCTATTATCCGATTCCTCACCAATTGGAAAGCGCAATTTCCTTTCTTGCTATCAGAAGGCTAGAATAGAAGGTTTAACTATTCAAAATATCAAGTCTGGGTGGCAAGCTAGTGGTCTTTGGCCCAAAAATATGGCTAAACCTCTTATGAGTCGACTTTTGCTTGAAAATAGCAATAGAGAGGTTTTATCACTTAATCCTGAATCTGATGATGATCCTATTCTTCAATGGAATATATATTCATCGTTTATTCAATGGAAAACCCCTCAAAAAGGAGCCGATATCAGAAAATATAGAGATATAATGATTCAAGAGAAGGAGATCGATTTGCCAACACGAAGATTACTATTTCGCAAGATTATAAAAGGATTCGATGCTAAGGATTATGAACCCTTAGAGGCAGAGAATAAGATTAGAAAGCTAGAATATCAATTAGATGAAGCATTACCTAGAAAAAGGCGAAAGGTTGTGGTATCTCCAAATTCGAAGTTCGCAGGGATTAGAGCTATAAGGCGTACACAAATTGAAGCTGGAGATCGTGAAGATGAGGTAGATGATAGCTCTAGTGCTATAGAAAGTGATTCTACAGGCGATTTCATTGAAGTTCAATAGTTATTGAGTTATTAAAGTTTTAAGTGTAGATAATATGAATTTTTTAGGTGGTCGGAAACAGGGGGTGGTCGGAAAGTGGGGTAGTTGACTTACTTTTTCTTTTAAAAGCAGGCAGAGTGGTCGGCAAGCCCCAGATTTTGTTGTCCATTTGAAGTGAATCCTCGCGGCTACCTACTGCACGAGGCTTTATTCGGGGGTTGAGATATTCAGTTAGCCGAACAATTGGCTGGTCAGCCGGACAGACTCAGTTTGCAAACGCGAAACTCCCAATGATCAATGACTTAAGCGAGAATCCTCCGTTCTTCCCGACACTGCGCTTGAGCCTAGTATGTGATTAAGTTTCCACAAAAAAGCAATGAGTGTAACGATGGCATGACGTTTGTTGAGTGCATATTCTGTGAGGTGTCACTAATGACTATTTGTCAGAGGTGCTGCTGAAAATAGTGGGCGCGGGGTATTCATGTGTGTCGTAAGGTTGGGATGACGACATGGAAGGTTGACGACTACGTCTCAATTCGAAACGGGTTACACACATATTGAGAAAGTAAGATGTTCTGAGCCCGGTCTTCTTGATGTATAGTCAAGAATGCATGGATAGTTGGATGCCGAGGCGTCCAATTATCCGTTGTCATTCTGGATTTTGTCCCAGGAGTGCGCTCGCTCTACGTGTGAATATAAGGAATCCCAGGGAAGATCTATGAAAGCCTACTGATGCAATTACGGAAAAGAAAAGAGTCGCCTTTTGGAAAGAGCTATGCCAATCAATCCCATGCACAATATTTATGCCTGGCCACTTACATGTAGATTATGCAACTTGAGAAATGAAAGAAGGTATTGGAAAAGATACGATTAAATGAGAGCAAATTGGAAGTGAACATGCTGCGAGCCTCTATCCAACGTCAGAAACTTCGGACAGGAAGCATTTCATCAATTTTATCAATCTCGAGATCTTAATCAATAGTCTGTCAATCGGATGTCAGAACTTTAATTCAAGCTCTTTATTTCTCCCGTTTTGGAATTTTTGCACGACTGGGGCTGGAGATTATGAAGCTTTTGCAGGTGTATTAGATAAGATACAAAAGTTGGCAGGGTCATAAAAATAAGATTCTGCCCCTCCAGTAGTATACTAGAAGTAGAACCACTAAATCAATGCTACGATCAAGCCCAAGACTCCCATAGCAGACCCAGGCCTGACTTTCCCACTACCCGAGTTTGCAGTTGGTGCAGTAGCGCTGGCGGAACTAGTAACAGATCCAGTGGCTCCGGCAGGCCTCGAGCCTGAAGAAATTGGGGAAGACGTAGCTGCGGCAGTACTAGAGGTCGTTCTTGTGTCTGAATCCGTCGCGCTGGTACTAGAACTTCTGATATTTGATGATGTTGCAGATGCACCCTCGACTGTTGTTTGCGATCCATCTGGCCCTGTATACACGCCAGTATTGACATTCCCAGAGCCTCCTACATCATCTGCATAGTCCCCTGTAAGATCAATTAGTTTCAGTCGTTAATATGAAGCTTGCAGAACATGGCATTTCCATGTCAGAGAGCTCACCAGTCTCTTCGTTCAAACAGAACAATGATCCATCGGTATATTCGTAGCATGTCTCATCGCTATAACAAGAGAGAGTATCACGCGTCCTTAAAATCAACACCTCCTCGTCATCGTCGTCGCCGCTGCCACAAGCAGATCCTCCAATAGCATTGCATTCACCTTGGCTTTGCATCTCATAGCATGCCTGTAAAGCTTTTGGATTGTTTGCGTATTCGGCACAGGGATCTGAAGAAGATGTGCCTGAAGAGCCGTCTGTTGTCCCTCCTGTTGTACTACCACTCTCGGCCCAAGAAATTGCATTCGACGTTGTACATGTGAATGAAGCAACCAGACTAAAAGGCGAGATGACAAATAACACTGTGATTATAGACAGAAACATGATAGTGAACGGAAACTATAATGGTTTTGATTTGAGAAGATGGGTTGTATTCCGAAGAAAAAATAAAATCAGAAATACCAACTGAGAAAATGAGAATATGTATAAGAGAATATTCCTCAAGTTAAAGAAACATTGCTTAGAATTGGGAATAGGACCGCATCCTTAAATATTCATAATGGAGACCGGCAACAATAAGTCCATTCTTTCTGAGAAGCAAGAAGACTATGCAAATCACAACCTTATTGGTTTGTTTACGAGAAGATAACTCCTTGTCCATGATCGTGCACGATTATTCTGTGGAGGAAGTTGTCAATATTGGGTGACTCGGCTCATTGTGACAGTTTTCTCTGCCTATATCACGGTGTCCATGTTGAAAATTCGCTTCTTGGCAATAGCTAGCTCGAAACTCCCAGATTAGTCATTGGATTGAGATATCAACAAAGTTTCAGATGGCCCAGCTGTGCTTGTGCACTAGCAACAATGTATTGAATATCAGGCATCCAAACTTACACATAGAAGGATATAAATAATCGAGCTGTAAATGTTCAACTATAGCGCCTCTTTTTTGGCGGCTGAATCGATTGGCCAGCGAGCTTCCACGAGCTACTGTCTGTGGTCTCGATCTGTCGTTCACTAGTGAGGCTGAAGAGTTTAAGCTCAATGAGAAAACTTGGCAAAATACTCCAAGCAAAGAATATTCCCAAGAGCGTGACTCGAAGAATCTCCAGATAGGCTGGAATTGAATTGCACATGTGGTTTCCTTTTTTCGTCGCTACTTAGCATGGCGGATATACTTGCGATTTTTAATGGATCAATAGAATTGTGGCTATCAGCAGTGCACAAATAAACAGTTGGGGTTGTGATGATAGAAATGAGATGAATGCGATTTGTACACGAAAGTCGAAGGCATAAGAATTTCTGATGACTAAGCATCTCACACGAACACAACACTGGTTCCGTTACTATTGTTTAAACAACTTTGGTACCATTATTATTCTTCATTGGCGTTATTCTCCCTACAACAACAATAGGAATCGGCATCGGTATGCGGCATAGTATAATTATAGCACTATAGTTCAACGGAATAGATAATACAATTCGACCAATTTGCCGGCCGCCTCGCGAGATCACAGAGCCGAACAAAATCATTAGAATAACCTTCCTCTCTACAAATCTGCCAAACGAGATCATTCGCCGGAATGAAAGACCTTCGGACAATTAACAAAATGAGATACAACAATGGGCTAGAGAGAGTTAGTTAAGAGTCCTGGATAAGTCATAGCTAGAGCGATTTTGAAGGGACAAATTCGAATGTGGTACTGGAGAGAGCTGTTACAAATGCACACAAGAGCTCCCTCTCTGCAAACTAATGCTCAGTTTCCCCATCGCGCAGTTGCCGAATCTTTAGAATAGGGAAGGAGCCTAGATTCATTTCCTTCGAATGACCGAACTTTACCACAAGTGGGTTTGTCTTTCATCTTCCCTCGACCTCTCAAGCTCCATTACACTACACAACATTACATTTACCTGGCCGAAGAAGGGGAATAGAATCCGATTCGAACACTGGAAAGCTCTTCTACTTGTAAAGCCCATTCCACTTTCTTAGGGCCACTCCATGCAAAGCTTGAAGTAAAAGTATCACAGGTTTGTACTGTGCTTATTTCGTCCCAGGGATAGGTCACTTGATTGTAAGTTTTTCAAGTCGTTGAATTCTAGCTGAAATTGGACCCTCATTTCTTGGTATAGAGTGATTCTATCAAAGAACCAAATGGCTTGACGTGACGTTCCTGTCATCTGCCATTTTGTTATGCTTTTATGTAGCCCCTAGCTGCCCGGCTATCCAATAAGAGCTTCAATGTTCCCATCGTGAATTCATACCGCAAGAATGAAATATTGCGAACTTTCTTCGGGTCAGAAATCAACCAGATTGGTCCGGATCGCGCCATATTCATATTTCAATCCCAATCCCAATTCCTATTCCAAATATCTAAATAAACCACCACAATGCTACTATATCAGTCTTCACTCTCCAGCCTTGACCCTAACCAACCTCGTAACACTCGTTCCGTCTCCCAAAATCCCCACTTCTTCCTCAATTCTATAGCCACCCCAACGTGGCAATCCCCAAAACACTATCGCCCACCAGCCCACCCCAAAAAGAATGATCCCCACCCCCACAACAGCGTATGTCGCATACCAGAACCCCACATCCGCGCTTCCCTTCGTCGGTTTGAAAAAGGGGCCTGCGATCAACGCCAAACAAACCGCTATCCTAATCCAAACAGCCGGCAGCCACGCTTTGAAAGGTCTTTTCAGGTCTGGTCGACTATAGCGAAGATAGATTAATCCTAAAGAGAGAGCTAATGCTGCGAATTGACTCGGATAACCTTCAACGTCTAGGATGAAGTTGTAGACGTCACCTCGAGGAGGAATGGCAATCACGAAGAAGGAGGGAATGTAGTGGACTATTAAACCGCCGAGGGGTGCACCGAAGGGAGCTGAGGATGAGAGGTACTTAGAATAGGGGAGGAAACCTTGACGGGCTATCTCTTGGTTTACGCGGGCCTAGTGACGCAGGGTCAATTTGAGATTTGGCGAATGGTGTCTCATAGATGGCGATATGAATGATTCAAAACTTACGAGTGTAAAAGTAACAACCATAACATTCCCGGCCGCACTAACCGCCACAGCCAATGGCAATAAAATCCGTCCCCCTACATCACCGAAGACTCTCTCGAAAAATAACGCAGCAATAAGTTGTCCACTTTCTTTCACTTCCTCCAGCGGAACCACTGATAAATACGCAATATTGGCTAATAAATATAACGAACAAGCTGTAAACAAGGCAGCCGGCGCAACAGTTTTCAACGTTCTGACCGGATCCTTAACCTCGTTAAGAACATTATTCAAATTGGACAAGCCTGCATATGAATACGAAACTTTGAAAATAGCGGTTGTCAAAGTTCCCCAATGCCAATTTGAACCAGTCCAAAGTCTATCCCAGGAAAACCCTTCTCTGGATAATGTAGAGACTTGAGCTCCTGTTTCCGGAAGTTTTACACCAAATGCCACGACAAATATTCCGGTTAGGGCCATGAAGAGAATTAGGCCTACTTTAATCCATCCTAAAAAGTTTTGTATCCATATTCCGCTTCTGAGAAAACATCCATGAACGATTGTTATCCAAGTTAAGAGTCCCAATGCAATAGCTTTTTGCCCTAATTCCGTACCCTCAATTCCAAAAGCAAAAAGCACATATTCGCCAAAAACGATGCAATTACTTGCTGTAAATCCTAGTAGTACCGCTTGTACCGCTACAAGCGTACTGGCAAAAAATCGAGGTCGTGGATAAGTAAACTCAAGGTACACTTTTTCGCCTCCAGATCTAGGAAGCATGCAACCATATTCTAACGAAATTTGAAGACCGAGCCAAGCAAGTATCGAGCCTGCAACCCAGAGAAGCAAGGCAAGACCGATACTACCGGTTGTTTTGAGGATAGGTCCGGGTGTTGCAAAAATTCCGGAGCCAATTACTCGGGATATGACGAGTATGTAGGCGCTTGACCAGGACAGGTTACGACCTAAAGTGCTGGTTTCGAGAATGGTGTCATCTTCTATTTGACGAGAGGGCTTGGACGGCGGAGAGGAGAGGTAGTTAGTGGAGGATGAGCGGGATGAGAGAAAAGGCTCGGACTCGAGGGCTGATGAGTCGGCGGAACTTGTTGATGTCGACATTTTGGGGTATATTGAAGACGGAGCTACGATCGCATTGTTTCATACGCTGATATTAGATAGCTATACTGATTTAGCATCACAAAGTCTCGTAATACTGCAGACAATTGTATTGAGATGAAAGCCACAAGTGAAGTCGTTATCGCGTTGGAATGTAATGATTCGGAACATAGAATTGCAATATCCGACCACAGAAGAATGGATTCTATCATAAAAGAGTAAAGGAATTACTTCAGCGAGCAAGCTCAAATCTGGAAATACTCATCTTCAATATAAAATCTGTACATTTAGCAGTCTTAGATTTTAGATCGATAGCAGCTCAACCACTATCGTGTTTCATCCTCCTCCAATTTCACCATTATCTTACCACCGAAGCCCAGCCATATCAATGATGCCATATGAACTACATAAGACATATGTCGAATCATAGCCACACAAAATAGCTTGCATGTAGATCAACACCTATATATCATCTCATGCAACAATTACGTGCTCTCTTAACCTCCCTTGTGATTCGTCGGAAAACGGCGGGCCTTATGATCCCTTGACATACGCTGCCTAATCTCTTATCTGCTTTTGTCATGAGCTTTGAAATCAAACATTAGGTGTCGGATGTTTTTTGAGGGGGGTTATGTGAGATTCGACCGAATTTGAGAAATGGAAGAGCAAATTGACTCGACTCCTTTTCCGAAACTAACGGCGGGGTTGAACTTCCTTCCTATCCTACGAATTCTAATTAAAACATGACATTGCGCCATTTTTGTCAAACGTGCACAAGAATGCGGGGTTGAAGAAAGCATCAAATGAGCATCTGAATAATATACGTGCTTTGAAATCATGCTGGATTAATAATTATGTTGGTCCTTTTGGTGCTTCAACATCGGTGCATCTCAATGTGAAAATAGTACTTATACTTGCAGGTTCCGAAGTTTGTAGCACAACATCCACAATTTCAAAAGACTTTTGATCATATAATTAAACAGACTTCACTTGAAGTATTAAATCTCTGGAAAATACATTAGCACAATGTCCACCACACTCACTGAACAAGCTCCCTCCGAGCACATCGCCAAGCTCGAAAGCACCCCCACTACACCTCACGATATTAGAGGAATTTTGAATTATTATCTTGATCCCGAAGATGGAAGTCCTCCAGAGCCCAATTACGTGAGTAAGCCTAGCACTTATGATCGTCCCGTACATTCGGTTGAGGTTACTGTCCACGATATCCGCGGCTCGGAAGACCAGTATACATTGGACACCACCGGTTTCCAGGTCGTGAACCATGTTAGTCGGGAGAAAGAATTTGTGGATGAGGAGAAGATCAAGAAAGATTACTATAAAGAAACCGAAGAATTGCTAAAAATGGAGTCAGTAGTTACATAGCTCCACGTGCTTGCATTCAAAGTGGACCGACTACTAACAAGCAAATAGAACCGGAGCATCCAAAATCTTCATCTTCGACCACACAATCCGTCGTGAAGCTCTTGATACGAGAGCCCCAGCACCTGTATCTGCTGATTCAATCAATAAGAATCCCACCCCAGTTGTCGTCCGCGGCCCTGTTCAACGCGTTCACATCGATCAATCCTATGCCGCCAGCCCCCGTCGCGTAACACATCATCTTCCGGAGGAAGCCGAGAACCTTCTCAAAGGACGTTTCCAAATAATCAATGTTTGGCGACCCATTAAGACAATTCTTAAAGACCCCCTTGGTGTTGCGGCTGCCAACTCAGTTGATGACAAAGATCTTGTTCCAATCAAACTTATTTATCCCGATCGCGAAGGAGAAACTTACTCTGTGCGTCATGCTCCGGGTCATAAATGGAACTATTTGTATGAGCAGACACCTGAGGAAGTACTTCTGATCAAGTGTTTTGATAGTAAAACTGATGGGAGAGCGAGACGTGTTCCGCACAGTGCGTTTGTCAATCCCGAACATGAGGGGGAGAAGACGAGAGAGAGTATTGAGGTTAGGGCATTGGTTTTCCATCCGAATGATACAGAATAGGGAGAGCTCTGAAGGGTATAGCAAGAACTTTCGAGTGTGTATGAAATGTGTAAGAAGGAAAGCATTAATCTAAATTGAACCAGTAACTTATCTCATCCATTGAGAAACATTTTGAAATGCTTGATCGGCATATTTAAGCCACTTTCATTTGATTCGGAAATCATCTTGGTTAACATGGTCAACTTCTGTAATCGTATTATGCAGCGAAATTTAAAAAGCAAAACAATTGCCGCTGGCGTTGAGAAGCAATTTGTAGTGCTATTTCATCTAGGATGATTCTGACCTTATCGGAGACCCTTCGGTCACCTAAGTTTAACCTGTACCGAGGTTGGCAATGATCATTCACTGATCTCACGGGATAACTCTGGAAAATAAATCATGAACCACAAAAATTGAAATGAAGATTTAGAGATAATGATCTTCTCCTAGACAACCAAGTTCAACTGTCAGAAATAGTGAGTGACTCGAGTTACCAATACTATATTTAGCCATTACGTAATAGCTTCGATTCAATCAAAGCCTAAGTTAGTCTCTTACAGAATCTCGGCACTCGGTGTTCTCTAACAAACCTCACAAAAATGATAATCGATCAGAGAATCCCGTCACATCCAGTAATTCTGCACAGCATCAGTGTGGAAGATGTGTTAATAGGATTATGGGAGCAGCAGACGCGGAATCGACAGTGCCAAGTGGCACGAGAAATGATTGAAATAGATTCTTTTGTCTGGAACTTTGGTGGCAGGTCAAACTAGCTACACTTTCAGTATGAATTAAATTGTCGCAGAGATGTTTACGACCGGAGCGCAGGTCCTAACCAATATTGCTACTCTGCAATAACTGCACGGGTGTACCATTCTTGCTCAGGATGTTGGAGAGGAATAATTCATCCCCTCCGGACAAAACTTGTAACGCTCAATAGTAGGGAAATTTGGTGTACTTTCGTTAATAGCTCGGAAGCAGCCTGAATGTGCTACAGCCCAGCTTCTCAGCTTCCCCCAATCGTTACACATCCTGGTCTGACCAATCCCAGATGTTGGATGCTCTTTTTCTTTCTCAGCGTTTAGTCGACCGGTATATCTTGGAGTGTCATCGGCATTACACATAACTTCTTCACGAAGTACATTTAGGCAACGAGATACATGCTCGAGTGGATATGTCAAGGCCACTTTATCGTATGCCTCGAGAACTGAGTTTCGAACAAGTTGCTACCAAAATTTGTCAGCGACATGATACTTTAAAGAATAGTTTACTTACAAGACAGTGAAGGTTGTGGAAGCCGTTCAGGATGTAGATGCCTTTCGAATGATCCCAAGGCCAGCGCTGTGCTGGAAGTAGTCCTTTCGACTTGACGTACTGGTCTGTCAAAGCCACGAGCCCGACTTCCGTATCAAGATCTGGGGAGCTCCAAGCTGCATCTGCAATAGTTCGGTTCTCATTGGTAAACAAGTTGTCTATGACAAAAGGAGTTGACACGTTTCGCACAAGACCAGCTGCCAGCTTTGTTAGCAAGATCTACCAGTATTTAATAGATCCCAGCAGCATACTGTATTTGTTGGGTGTTAATATGGGTATCGTCATCAATTGCAAGGTTTGGTGAATCGATAGCGCATTGAACAACAGCGAAAATGAAAGGAAAATGCCAAGAGCGAAAGAAACTCTTTTGAAGTAACGAAGCTGTCGCTGTAAACTGAGATACATCAAAGTCTCAATATCACGATCTGTATCATCTTGCTGCTGCACAATTTTATACTCCTGCAGAGCCATTGTAGAAAGACGAGAGAGTAGGCTTCATTGCCCCATGAGTCAAGCGAAACTTATAAAGGGCCTCGAGAGCGCCTTCTTTTCAACGGCACACCACTTACTAATTCAAATATAAATCCTTCCAAATCATGTCAAAAAAGGTGTTGAGTAGAAACTGCATGGTTCTATTGATCCCTCACTTCTTTAAGGTTAAAGCGGCCAGCTCAATTTCTGCACCGGATCTCAAAACCCTACATATAAGGGCCATCGCAAATATGTAAGCCGGAGGTCAATTACAGCGACCGCCAAAATGAAATCTTTGTGCGACTACAAGTGCGCAAAGATATCTGGATGTTATTTTGCAGATCTTACCTAGTTTGATGCAAAATGCACATATGTGTGTTGGTGGCGGTGTCATGCAATATGTATGTATGGTTATCGGCCTAATAATCCTCGGCATACCCCTGTCGATAACCGAGAAGGGCAGGTCAGATAGGAAATAAATCACATATCGTACATGGTTGAAAAGCAGATCATCAAATAGCGGATTACCCAGCTCAATGACCTTTCACCTGATTTTCTATGGTTGTAAGCTATGTATCTTTGATTTATTTCTGCGCGGCGTCGAAGCTACCTGACCATCCAAAAGGATACGTAGGGAAATCCACGTAAATATTTCACCCATTCTAATCTCTCGATAAACGCAAAAGTCTTGAATCTTGGGACCTTGCCTCAACAAGAGATTTCTGGATCTGTGGAAACTCTTATTCCGCAAGTGACTCTATCTCTCATCGATTGACTCTCACCATGTTCGATTTCTTGCCCACGCTCGTTTGCGTTCTGCCTTTCATTCTGCTTGTTTATGTTTCGAGCTGGGTTATCTCGTCAAGAGCAGCTCGTAATACCATCGATCAACATGGTTGTGAGCCTCCTCCATCATATCCTCACGCCAAGGAGTCTGAGCTTGTCAAGTCACGAACAGACGCCACAAAAAATGGCAGCCTAATGGATCTCTACATGGAACACTTTGCTTTGTATGGAAAAACATGGGAAGAACATTTCCTAGGCGCAAAGATTATCAATACAATGGAAGCACGCAACTTTCAACAAGTCACCGCACTTGGCTTTCAAGACTGGGGTAAGGCTTCTACCACACATTCTACACCTTTCTTCGGCAAGGGCATATTCTTCATGAATGGCGCCGAGTGGAAGCATGCTAGAGAGCTTGTTCGACCCACATTTTCGAAAACTGAAGTATCGGATGTTGAGATCATAGGAAAACACGTGGATAGGCTGATTGAGATGATTCCTCGAGATGGTTCTACCATCGATCTCCAACTACCTTTACGAAAACTGGTACTGTTTCTTGACCCCCTCGCACACTACAATCTGCTTACAAATGTATAGTTCCTTGACAAAGCTACTGAATTCTTAATGGGACAGTCAATCGATTCTCAATTAGCTGATGATCCAAATAACTCAGCGGAGATACTTGCGGCATTTGACTCTTCACTGGCTGGGGTAGGAAAACGAAGATTGCTCTCAAGATTCAAACGCTTCATGCATAACTTTGACAACAACTGGAAGAAAGCCTGTGGGGTAGTCCACACCTATATTGACGTCCATGTTACTCGGGCTTTGAAAGAAACTGAGAATTCCGAATCCAAAGCTGGGGCCATGGATGCTGACACAAAACAACCCACACGGTACATTCTGCTGTTGGAAATGGCCAAGCAAATTCGGGATCCTGTCGCGCTTCGATTTCAGATCTTAAATGTATTTATACCAGCTCGTGATACAACGGCTGTTATGCTTTCGAACACACTCTTTCATCTTGCGAGGAATCCAGATATCTGGACACAACTCCGAAATGATAGCTTGGCATTGGGTGATCGACCTCTAACCTTCGAGGTCCTCAAATCACTTCAACTATTCAAGTACGTCTTGTTTGAAACCCTTAGATATCAAGGACCATCTGGACGAATTTACCGAACCGCAACACGAGATACCGTTTTCCCTACTGGTGGTGGACCTTCGGGAACATCCCCAATTTATGTGGAAAAGGGAACAGTAGTTGCTTTGAACTTGTGGGGTCTCCATCATGACCAAGATATCTGGGGACAAGACGTCAATGAATTCAACCCTCAGCGATGGTTCGATCCCAAAAAGCAGTCTCAGTGGCAATTTGTACCTTTCCTTGGAGGACCAAGAATTTGCCCAGCTCAACAGCAAGTGCTTACCCAATCAATCTATCTCTTAGTTAGACTCACACAAGAGTTTACCATGATTGAGAATAGGGATCCGGTCAATGAATATGTCGGTAAGGTCACAGCGTTGACGGAGAGTAAAAATGGGGTTAAAGTTGCATTTCGGGTGTAATTAGCTCCTCAAAAGTGAACACGATCTAAAGAACGATTCATCTGCTTGCTTGAACCATCATTGCTGCGTATTTTTGCTATCATGTTGGTGTTGAAATAAATTGCAACTGCAGGAATATTCTTGCGGAACGGTGCAATATGGGTTTCAAAGCTTGAAAAAGAATGGTTTATCTCCAAACCTACCACTACCACAGTGTATTCAATTCTTGTACCCATAATTTCAAGCATAAAATGGTATACAGAATATTGGTCCACATTTATTTTTTACATGCTTTTCAGTAATTCTTGATGGAAGAGATGTAGAGAATAAATTTCTCCAAGAGGATTATTTATTAGGCTGTGTTCAACACGGCGAAAATTATTCTGCATACTCTCCCAGGATCGATCAAGACACAGCTTGCTCGATTACAATCTCTTTGATATGATATACAAAATGCTGTTGTTAACAATCAATAGTGCCTTTATAGCTAGCTACTTTATTGAGAGTTAATTCATAGATCCTCCACTGGAATCAATAACTTTACTTCAGTTGCTGTATATTTGAAGAATGACTCAGTCATTGAGGTAGCCATCCAGGCCATCTCGTACATTTACCATCACAGTCTTTGTGACGATTGCGATAAAGTCTTTGTGACATGCACATCATGTGGAACAGAAACTTGTCCCGTGCTCTCCAAATCATACATGGCATGTGTTTCAATAGCCATGACATCGTCTGGTCTCAGGTTAGACGATGAAGGACTCTCGACGCTTTGGTTATCCTTGCTTGATTTTGACTTCTGGTATCCTTTGCTGTTTTGAGAGCCAATGGATCGAAGAGAAATGATACTGCGTACACTTCGAAGCACGTTCTCCGGTGTGACTTTATGCGTAAGGTAGTAAAGTGACGGAAGGTTGACTGCAACGCAACTGAGACCTACTTCGAGAATAGAGAGATAGATGGATTTCGTATTTGTTACTAGTGTCTGTTAGATCACTGATCTTCTCAAGCTAGGCGAGCTCACGACAGCTCGTAACTTTCATGGGAAACTAAAAACTGTCTACTTACGTCTTGAGTCAATTTTTGTAGTCGCGGGAACTATTTTTGAGGTTAGACTTTTTCAAATTGTGTGAACCTGGAAATATGGAGGGTGTTTTAAGATGAGAAAATCCATACGATTGTCGAGCTCCACAAAAACTGCCAGCCTCGCGATGCAAGCTCCGAAGCCTCTGTATATAGTATAACATGTTAGCTGGTTCCAAATATGCTAGTAGTGATCAATATGAGCCTCTTTGAAGTTAATTCAGATTGGGTAATGACTAACACAAATGCTAAGAGAAACACGCCAATAATAGCGAAGCGACGTGTGAGAGTCGTTTTGATAGTTAAAATCTACGATTTGTTAGCGCGTGAGCTTGTTGAAGAAGAGAAGCAAGAGATTTTTGATGGTATCGCTTGTCACAGTTGCAACATACCTCAGGGATGGGAAGAGCGATGATCCAGAAGTCCAGTATAAAATCCGAGATGGACATACTCAGCAAGAATTGATGAGGCCTTGTTCCACAATACTGCAAGAATACCGCCTTACTAGAAGTCCATAGGGCTGAGAAGTGAGATCCACATGACAATCCAAGCAGTATACAAAATGCCGCAACCCAAAGAGAGCACACGACGATGCTTATCATTACAAGTATTCGGAAGGCAGTTCGGCGCCCATAGTCGCAGAAGATTCGATAGTAGAAGCATAGTGCGCTAATCTTGACACACCCTAGAGTTAGAATTGAGAACAAATCAAAGGCAAAGTAGAGCTAAGCTCATGTTAGTTGAAATCATAAGCAACAAGATCAAATCATGAGTACCTTTGATGCTATGGGAGCAGTCTCCAAAGCTAAAGATTTACCAGTCGGCGTTGGATAGCCTAGAATCTTTTTGTTTGTGCCTAATGGAAGAGATAAGTAAGCACTGAGAGTCAATAAAATGTACACGTATCCCAAGGCCGGCCAAGAACAGCAGATTTTATCTCACCATAGAGCGCAGTGCCACAGGTGCCCCCAAGCAGTAGCTATACATCCAAACTTCAAAGTCAGTCCAAGAGTAATGTAATAAGGTTTACCAGTTTCTGTAACCAGGCTAAACTACGTTCAGAGGCAAAAGGAACAGTTACGTACAAGGCATGGTATCATAATCCAATCATCTGTTTTTAATGGCGCTTTTTGTACACGGCGAGAATAAAAGCGTAGAGCAATAGACACAGTCGAGAGTGCCAGCATGCTACTGGCAACAGCAGTTAGTCCTTCATGAGAGGTGGAAGACATGTCGGACGCTTCAACTCGGCTTCAAAGCGAAAGCTTATGAAATGCTGAGAAAGATTCTGAAGAGGTGAAAGAAGTGGATAAACAGGAAATCTCAAGTGAAAAACAAGACATCTATAAGCGTTAGGTTTGAGATTATTGAGTAGGCCTACATTTCTGCTCCGCGGATGCGTTTCCCGGCGCCGCGTAGAAGCTTGTTCTTATCACAGTTCTTCCGCGTCTTAATCTTACTCAAATTAGCCTGGCCCCAATTGGTGGTTTGAACTGTGAGATAACAATCTTCAAGTCGAATTAAGCCTTGTGGCCCGCTCTTGGGGGATGAATAGACGAGGATTTGATTTGACACTAAACACGGGAAGTATTTTCCGTCTTACGTTTTATCTTACCCCGGCTCGGAACTAGGATACCGGCCACATGAGTAGGGGTTTCTTCAACACAACCAAGGAAATAACCGAGGCATTGTTGGTACCCCTCATCCCCCATATCTTATTTAATCGACAAATTTCTGGAGAATTTGTTCAATCTTGACAAAATCCTACAAAGAAATTAACTCTATAGTATCCTAATTTTCTCACTTATAGAATATCTGGTTCTGGCGGTCTTAAAAACATACATACCACAAATCATCTCAACATTGACGTTTGATTTGAATTCGCAATGACTTGGCACCACTCTGAACTTCCTCAAATACGCGTTACAATCTCATGCAAGAGTTAACATCTCTCTCTCTCTGGGTTCATTTGGCCGAGAGGATCGTCATGATTTGGTCGAAATTCAGTCCTGATTACTCAGGAGCTTGAAGAATGATACACCCATGCCTTGATTGATGTGGAATTGTTGAGGGTGATATATTTCAAGGAGCAATATAGACATCTCATCTCACCGTAGTGTTTCGCATACTACTTCAAGTTTACCCGGACCCGAGTGTACACAGGTTCGGCTGCAGTGGGCTGTCTGTTGGAAAAGTACCCTTCAAATTACTACCCCGGTAGACATGGTAGATGGATACCTTGCTTGGGAAGATATAAATCGAGGCCAAGAGTAAAAAGATCTGTGTTGATCGCAATTGCTGCTTTACCAAATGGCAGGGTATATTTGAGATTAGCCTTTTTTGGCATTGCATCAACGTTGAAGTTGCTTCACAGCGAGTCATCACATTGCATCTAGGATTCACTTCAAACGTACTTTTACTTTCCCTCCTTGTACCGCTCGTTTGCTTGGTGGAGTTGATGTGACTCATTTGCTAAATCTTCTTTGATATTAGGCACACTCACTTCCCAGTAGCCCGTGATATAATTGCTTGATTAAGAAGCTCATAGAGTGTGTTGAAAATGGCACTCAACATGTAATGCTTCGAATTAAAATCTACATATATAAGTAGATATGGGTTCCGAGAGATTGGCACAGGTGTATTCATTTGAAGCAAATCATCCCATAAGTTTATAGGCCGGAATCCAGCTGTTCAATAACACGTCAGGTTTAACCCAAGAATCATGTTACTCTCCACACTTATTACTTCTTATATGGCGGTCCTCGCAGTCGCAAGCCCCTTGAGACCCCGCTCTAGTACGTGCTAGCCCCTAAAATAATATGGTCTCCTCATGGCTTCTTTACCACCTCATTTATTCCTGATAACTCTTTCTGACATCATATTCTAGTAAATGATGTCGTTGTGAATGAAGACTCACCTTCCCCTCTAATTGAATGGTCAAACACAAAAAGAATCGCAAGGACCACTGCCGACGAAGGGGAAGGTTCACCTGCCCCAATAATCGAGTGGGCTGATACAAAGAAGACAGCAAGAGCTGTCTCCAACGAGGGAGAGATAGTACCTACGCCCCTTATTGAATAGGCAATCGCTAGCAAGGCTTAGACGTCCACCAATTTTGGCTTCGGTTAGTCCCTCGAGCCAATGCCTTCAACCAATCGTTGGACTGTATACATCGCACAGATACTAACAGGACTTTGCGTGTAGATTCACATGCCATCCTCTGCTCTAGCATAATAATGCCATTGAGGTTCATGAGTTGTTGAGGTTGATCTTATCATCTGGCTGGCTATTGGAATATAGGTTGGATGCCGCTTGTCGGGAAGGCTTTCAATCAATCCAAGGTCTATAACATACGCACTTCTCTAAGGACGTTGGCAATAATCTCTGTTGGTATCACCTCGGTGGTGCATATGACGTCCTATAAGGGCTGAATTGATCATATTGTGTTTTTTGTGTTTATTCTAGGTTCAGAGCTACGAGAGCTATATGCAATAAGTTCGTGCGCTAACGCGCGCTCACGCATGGACTTTCACTCGTATCGCAACAATCTCCTTCTGATTTTCAAACATGTAAGGCTCAAGAATGCAAACTATGATGCTTTCACTAGTGCTTGTATCATCTTCTACTACTTTGATAGACTCCGTAGTTGCTTAGGCTGCGCAATAGATAGTATTTGCAAAGCGAATCAAGACTTTGGTGCACACACCGGGGAGAATAGATTCTCAGAGTGAATGATTCCATGGTCTACTCCTACTTGATTTCATATTCTCATTCTTTATCTCCCGCGTGCAGATAGTGTTCGACAGATAGACTCGTCGAGGCACTGACCAAGTCCAAATCTTCTAACGTGGTTGATCACCGAGCAGATTATATCATCAAGTGGATCACTCAATTTACATATAAAATTTGTTTATATATAATTGTATATTTTTTTTATAATTAAAAAAATTGAAAATAAAAAATAAAATTTAGGTGTAATAAAAATGTTATAAAATTCTTTTTTTTTCGAAAATTCGAATTTGTAACGAACCTAACAAATGTTTAAAAATCAATCTTAGAATTAAAAGCTATAAAATTAAATAAAGTGTACTATAAAGCTATATATACAATCAATTTGAAACTTAATATTATACTAATTCAATTAAATGTAATTATATATATATTATAACATTACTCTTCTTTTTTGAAGAGTTCGCTTCAAACTTGCTTTAAATAAATAACTTAAATATAAAATATAATTAATAAAACTCTTTTTCATTATTATTATTATTTTCTTCATTAATTTTTTATAAAATACCTTAAAAAGCTAGATATATTATTATCAAATGGAAAGTGTTGATAAAAGCTTATACCTTTTCTAAATAATCTTTAAAATATTAATTATTAATTATTTTATTTAAATCCTTATCATTATTATTATTATTATAAAAGTTAATAAAAGTGAATATAATAATTAGGATAGATTCTTTTTAATCTTAAATATCTTGATATAAACTAAGTAAATAGAATTATAGTCAATAAAAAATACTTCTATATTAGATATACTTATTTTTTTTATATAATTGAGTTTTTTTAATAAAGGAAAACTTAGGTGTTCTAGTGTAAAATGGAATTGAAATATAATCAGTTTTATTTAAAGAAATGTTAAAGGTATTAAGAATATTAAGATTATTAATATTTATTAAATTATAATTTTAAGAATAGAATGGATTTTACAATAGATATAGAGTTTTAGGTTCACTAAAATAGGATAATATAGGGAATCTATTTACTATATATATAACTAATTATTATATAATCTAAACAAAGTTGGAATACAAGCGAAATAATGAAAGCTATTAAGAAAGACGATTTTTAAAAGTAGTATTAAGTTTATTATAAAAGGTTAAGATTTTATTCGAATTGAACCAGTTTTGGCCTTTTGCTTTGTAAAGAGTCCTTTTAAATTTCGCAATATAGGTATGTAGAGAATCGGTTCCTTGCTTAAAGTTGAATAACGTGATTCATCACCGAGTGGATCATATCACCGAATGGATCACTTTCACCTCAAATATTCATGTCTCAATTCAACACACGTTTTATCAATCAATTATCATGTAATCGAATAATAATGAAGCTCGAATACTCTTAGCCATCAAGGCTATTCGAAAAGACAAAAAACTCAGTATTCAATAATCTACCAAGCTATATAATATACTATATACAATACTATATTATAGAATGAATGGTTTTACTTCTTGTACCGAATCTCTATTAAATGGTAGTAACCTTTTGAAATTAGAAGAGGAGATTATTATTCAATATATAATTGATATGGATATAAAAGGTTTTGTATCTAAATATAAAGGGGTGGAAGATATGGCGAATTATATTCTTGAATTAAGAGGAGTAAAGAGAGTTGGAAAGTAATGGGCATATCGATTTGTAAAACGTAATAAAGAGTTAAGGATGTGTTTTACTTGTATTTATGATTTTCAAAGAGCTTTCTACAAAGATTCTAAGCTTATTGGAGATTGGTTCCGATTTATATTGAATATACGAGACAAATTTGGTATTCTCGATTATAATTTATGGAATTTCAACGAAACAGGCTTTATGATGGGAATTATAAATGCTGGTATGGTTGTTACTAGCTCTAAGAAATTTGATAGGAGTAAAGCTATATAGTTAGGCAATCGAGAATGAATGATAGTGATTATATATAGTAATAGTAAGGGGGACATTATATCTTTATTTCTGATAGTTCAAGGATAGATACATCTTTCCAATTGATATACGAAAACCGATCTTTTTGTAGATTAGACTATTAAACCTATTTCTAATGAATGGACGAATAATGAGATAGGGTTAAAATAATTGAAATACTTTGATAAATATATAAGAAATCGAATTAAGGGTAAATATAGAATATTAGTACTAAATGAGCATAAAAGCTATAAATCAATACTATTCCAGAACTATTACAAAGAGAATGATATTAAATATATATGTTTATTATTGTATTCAAGTCATTTAACTTAGCCTCTTGATATTGAATGTTTTAGTACTTTAAAACGAGAATATGGTACTCAAATTGAGGGGTTTATAAGAGCATATATCAATTATATCTCAAAAGTCGAATTCTTTATAGTTTTTAAAACTGTATATCAATGGTCAATTATGAATCAGAATATGAAAGCTGGGTTTCGAGGAGTAGGATTAGTTCTATTTGATCCTGAAGCAGTGCTTTCTAAATTAGATATTCGAATCCATACGTTTATTCCCTCTCCTTTCAATTTAGATCTTTGGGTTTCTCAAACTCCTTATAATCCTATAAAAGCTTTTTCTCAATTAACATTAGTTAAATCTCGAATAACTTATTATCAATCAAGTTCTTTTATACTTTTATTTGAGATTATACTAATTCTAGTTAAGGGTACAAAGAGATTAGTATATAAGAATACACTTTTAAGTATAAAAAACTGTACATTTTGAAAAGCTAATGAAATATTAAGCCAACATTGATATGCAAAAAAGACACAAATACATTAAGGAAGAGTATTTATTGAATAGAAGGCTATGAATATATTATCTCAGTAAAAAGTTGATATTCAGATTCAACACAATAAGTATCAAAATGAAAGGAATTCTAATAAGAAAGTATCTTTTAGTTGATATTATAGTAATTGTAGAAAGATAGATTATAATATAAGAACTTGTCAAATTGATATAATAGATCCTAGATTATTAGATTCTTAATAGCTTTAATCAATTGAATTAATGGTTGTTGAATAATATAAATTTGAATATGTCAATTGAGGTGAAAGTGATTCACTCGGTGATATGATCCACTCGGTGATGAATCACGTTAGCTTATCTTTAGCTTCCTGTACTTTATTCGGATTGTTATATGATCTAAGGGAACGTTTTGATCGAGAGAAGAAAGCTGAGGTAATATTATAGCTTATACATAAGATTCGAGATTAAGATAAATATAATAAAATTGAGCAGTAGAATTGCTGATTATAGCACCATCTATTTATAGTTTTACTCAAATCAAGGATAACCATATATCAAATTTCTGAAAGCTATTATTGAACTTTTTGGAATTAAGGAGAGAGAGTTTCGATTGAGAAGGCGTTTAAGTAGTAGGAGCATGTTTGAGGATTAAAGAGTATAAAAACAAGATTTTATTCTATTAATAAATCATTTTATTATAAAGTTCTATAATTATAAGGTTTATTGAATTATAATCTATAATTAAAAAATTAAGGGTAAAAAAAGAAACAATATTTTTAAATAATATCAAAAAGATCTATATGTAAGTAAAAGAGTAGAAGTAATATATTTAAATAGAAGTAAATGAAATATATATAAGGGCTTTATTTATAAGTATATATTAACATTATTCTATTTCTTATCTAAAAAAGCTTTTAATAATATAATAAATTTAATAAATATTTAAAAATTAATTTTAAAATTAAAAACTATAAAATTAAAGAGAATATACTATAAAGTTATATATACAATTGATTCGAAGCTTAATATCGTACTAACCCGATCGAACGCGATCATATGTATACCGTGACAGAATTAATATAAGAATTATTATAAAATTAATTTTTTGTAATAAAAATCATAACATTTTCAATTTTTTATTGAATATAATAGAAATATTTATATAAAAATTAGATTTCTAAGAAACTAAACTTTTGTTATTTCAAATCCTTTTACTTTTAAAAATAATAATTAGTTATCAAAATAGGAATATTTTCAAATGATTCGCTTAGTGATATGATCCGCTTAGTAATAAACCACGTTATGCAAATTCTAACGTAATTTATCAGCATATGGGCCATATCAGCATGTGGGCCACTTTCACCTCAATTTATACTTTCGAATACAGATTATTCAACAATCATTATATTAATTGATTGAAACTATTAAAAATCTAATAATTTAGGATCTATTATATTGTTTTGACAAGTTCTTGAATTATGATCTGGTTTTCTACATTTACTACAGTATTTATTAGAAAATGCTTTTTCATTAGAATTCCCCCCATTTTGATGTTTATCACATTAAATCTGAATATCAATTTC